GACAATATGCGTTTTTGCTGGCTGTAGCAACGCTATAGCGCTGCACAGCAAAAACGCATAAAAAACCAAGAAAAAGAAACCTCATCAACGAAGTAGAAAAAAAATCTAGAAGAAAACTTCGAAACTTCTGCCATTGTTCTTTTCAAAACAGTTTTTCATTGAAAATTAACGAAGAAATAGTACGAACTGAATAGAACTTAAGAAGGGACAACTGTTTAAGTTTGCCAGTGTGGCGAATTGGAGTTGCAAGCAGAGGAAGGCGTTTGGAAGCAACTTACATCACCGGATTATCCGAACAATTACTGCAATTCCATGCAATGCCAATATTTGATCACCGCACCGCCTGGGTACCATGTGGCAGTGAATATTACCGAACTGTTTCTTGAACCAAACGAAGATGTTCTTGCTATTTTCGATGGCTCCAATATCACAGATCAACGAATACGGCTGTTCGTTTTCGTCTTCTTTTTTTTGGGCATTATATCTAGAGTTCGAAGTATTTCTAACACAGTTAGTAGGAAAATCATTAACTTTTTGTCATCACTAACTCATTGTGTCAACATACCAATGATTCCTTTACTGCTGAAAAAATTTTTTCAACGAGTTGGAGGCTGTACTGATGTTTCTCGGTTTTGCTACTCGCACGCTGTTTTTGTTTTTACGTTTAAGTGAATATATAATTTATAGATTTTGTGATTTTGATGATAATTTTGAATAATAGCATTTTATTTATAGCGCAAGTGGAATAGAAATTTTCACGGATTTATTGCGAAGCACCTCCGAATTGATGACAGTCTATTTTGAGTCCGATATCAGCATCACAAATAAGGGATTTGTCCTCTACTATATAGCTGGTACGCTCCAGTTATACGCTTTTAAGCATTTTGCATAGTTTCTTTGATACAAAAGGCATTTAGACGGTAACAGAGGTGCTTACTTGTCTATCTGCCTGTCTCACCACATATTTCAGTCCTGGAACTGTGAAAGCTAGGAAGATGAAACTTTGTAAATGAAGCCTGGGGCTATGTTCCAGTTCATCACAATCATTCTTCTTCCTATGCCTTACCTTTTTCTTTAGCACCAAATCTGAGGAATTTTGTTTTTGAGACCAGTAAAACTGCATTTTAAAAGTACTGGAAGCAGCGTCCGCAGCCATGTGCCAAGCTAAAAATCTAAGGTGAAATTTCAGGCCGCGCTGCCTTTCAATCATTACTCACAATTCAAATCCAAGTTATAATTTAGACATCAAAGAAATGCAAGCTTAAAATTTTGCACAAGAAATGCCTGACCGTGTGCAGAGTCATAAGCTTAAATTATTAACCTATGGCAATTTTTTGCCGGATGCGAATGAAACTATGAATTCAAAGTTTTATTACGCACTATGTTTTGTGTAGCCTAGATCCTGTTTCAAACTTATTCACAAAGTCATTAATCCAATATCCACAGACACATCTGGGACTGAATTGAGGCAAACATTCGACCCATATTGTTGCTGGTTTTGGAGGAAATGCTTTACAGCTAACTGACTTGAGATCCCTTATTTAGTACTCTCATTCTTCCCTCCTTTGTTTTCCACTAATAAAAGTAGTATTGTCATGTAGTGACAGATGATAAATTGCACCACACCGTATCGACTTCCTTTTTTGTGCATTTCGCATAAATCTTCTTGGAAATACAGTTTGGCACAAAGTATTTCTGTGTGTTTATCTTTGTATATCTG